TGCTTAGGAATGATCACCATATTACGGTTTCCATTCGTTTTGCTATTTTTCCTTGCTTCGGTGCTATAGTTTCATTTCACAATTATCAAACAAAGTAGAATTTTTCTTCAAATAAGACTTATCCCCCAAACGTTTATGCAGAAATGGTATGAGTGACAAAAGTTTCTGAAAATAGATAAAGTATAGTGTATTAGGGCTTAGAGAAGCTTAAATGACTGGTGAAGTCCAATATGGGATATTCTGGTTTGAGTACTTTTGAGGCTAGATAGATGTATATTCTGATTTCCTAATGAGCCAATATAGTTAAAGCAGACAGGACATGAAGTATGTGAAATAATAGAAAGTTGGATGCAAGAGAAAGCCTGGATAAAGGTTTTTGGCAACCAGTGGAGATAGGCCATTCCCCTTTTCTGCTCTCAATGCCAGTGGCATGTTCTAGGGTCATTTCATTATTTCCTTTAATAGATTCTGCAGAGGAGGTTCCACATTTAGCTATCTAAAGGCAGCGTTTAAGGGGGAAAGTATTCAAACTTATTGTTTGCTCGTAAGCAGCTGCTGCTGGAGGTTTTGGTTTGGCAGCAAGGCAAAAAGAAATTATTCAAACTCTGTTTCCATTCAAGTTCAGTGGTGAAATGTTTCTTGGTTAATTGATAATCTTCTGCTCCAGTAGCCTCTTGAATACTCCTGGATGCTATACGGTATCACTGGTTGTCTTGGCCTCAATCTGCTATTAGCAAATGTCTAGAAGCAAATCATTCTCCTCTTATGATTTGGCTGGGGAGGAGCAGAGAAACCTAATATGTATTTCTGAGACCTGGTTGGGTGAATACAAGAGTAGTAATTGTAAAGATTTGCCCAGGAGTTTTTCAGACCTTCAATAGCCACTGCTCCAGAGAACGAGGAATATGTTAATAAGACTATAGGAAATCATAAGTATCTGATACAAACATGAAGAAATGATGAAGTGTGTGCTATAACATCATGACCCAATCCCTGGCCTTTTGTATTTGCATCCAAATACAAATATGTAAGCCATGTGGCTTGAACCCTGAGACACATTATTTTCATTTTATTTTCATATACATGTGGAAGGCATGTCTTGGCTATATGTAATTGCATACAGTCTATATATGCTTGCAAAGTATATAGATAAAACAATCCATGTGTCCTATACAAAGTTTCTGCACCAAGTCAATAAAATGTTATATAGTGATGTCCATCAAAAATCTTATTCTTCTATTTAAAACAGCAGAAGGTTGTCAAGTCTTCGTAAAAGGGGAAAAAACTATTTTTGTCAAGTGAACATAGTGACAAAGATTCAGGAGAAATGTAGATTTCTGTGTCCTTGAATCTAAGTCTTATTTTTCATATTATAGGTACTGGGGAAACGTACATATTTCATTTTTCATAAAAATAATATTTATTCTATAAAGAATTGCTATTAGGACTGTGCAAATTTATTTCATATACTTTACTTATTAGGCTTATACCTCCCATATATAGCACTCCCCCTTTAATTTTTCATCTAATCCCTTATCTTTCTGTTTCCCTTTATTCTGATTTAATAGCGGAGGCAGAACCATCACTGTGGAAGGAAATGGATTTTTGATGGCTCAGAGTGTGTCCATGGTTGTTCGTGCTGTTGGAAAAGAACAAGTGGTAAGTCTTCACCAGTGAAAAAGTAAGGAGCAAAATGTGTAGAAATGAAATTCAGGAAAAAACATAAACTTTGTCTAAGCACCTTTAAAATGTTTACTCAGTAAGTACAGAATCCTCAGTTTTACTTTCAGGTTTTATAGACAATTTTACTGTCATGTTATTAAGCAGTTTATGATTCCACATGTATCTTTTATCATGACATTTCAGTAAGTCTTCAGTAAGCAATCAAATGTGCCAGGGTGTATATTTGAGCTGGTACCTTCCTTTGCCATCAGCGTCACAGTTTCATTGTTATGAGATTCAAAATATACGTGTGAATTGTTCTTAAAGGCTAATGAGATATGTTTTTGGAGACACTGGTTTCACCACCCATTGACATTATTTTTTCTATTTATAAAATGTTTGGATTGTAAAGTTTTAAGTTCATGGGAATTTAATTCCATTGGGAATTGGGGAGGGAGATCTTGCTTAAAATTACTATTGCATAGTCCTTTTTTTCTGGGGATAATTTAGTGCTCATGTTCAGAGGTCTGATTTTTTTGCTGTCAGCTGTATGAAATAAATATAAAATCAAATGCCATGCATATTTCCTCTACTCTAGTTAACCTTGTGTATAATAAATTAGGCTAAAAGAGAATGAGCTACTTGGTGGGGGGTGAATGCTGGTTCCTCATTAGAGAAAATTCTAAAGAAAGCAAGTTTTAGCATTGGGTGCTTTCTTTTCAGTTATATCATATGGACTAGAATTTGTGGTTTGAGTTATATGGCTTCTGCCATTATAATATTTATGATACTGATCAGTGCTTCTTCCCTTTTTTATTTTCACATATTATGAACAAAGAAATGCAGTTAAAGTTTTTGCAGAATTGAATTCTCTCTGTTTTTTCCGTTCAATATTTTTTAAGTATTCAGGAATACTTAGTCTTAGCTTCTGTTTATCTAACATCTCTTACCTTCTGTCATCCGTAAACCCCAAAGGTGCTTTTTCAAAAGGCAACTGGACTTTGTTTTTCCTTAAAGACGCTTCGCTTCTCATCCAAGAAGCTTCTTCAGTTTTGACTGAACGGTGAATCCATTCAGACAGATTCCCCGAATTCATTGCCATCAGTAAAGTTAAATTACACTGTAGTTTTTCGGTCTATATCGGCAGTTGATGGAAGTATCTATTTTTATTTTGGCAAATGCAAATATTTAAAATTGTTGGCAACTTTGTAGAATCTCTTTTGTCTATGTTTGATTTGCTTGCTTTCTTCTGTTTTTAGAACTGTAAAGTTCACTCGGACACTGTGATTACCTGCCCTTCTCCAGCTGCCTCCAATCTTACTGGAAGCAAGCCAGCATTAGTGGACTTTTTCATCAATGGACTCCTGTATACCGACGAGAGCCTTTTCCCCTTTGAATACCCTGAGGAAGCTGTACATGTTAGCAAATTCCACATGGAATACTATACAGATCCCCAGTTCTTCACAGCCAATAAAGAGAAATTGATTAAACATCATCCTGGAGAGCCTTTCACCCTTGTTATACATGTAAGAATTTGGAATATATGGACCAGAGGTGGGTTTCAGCAGGTTTTTAACCAGTTCTGGAGAACTGGTAGCGGAAATTTTGAGTAGTTCAGAGAACCAGTAAATACCACCTCTGACTGGCCCCACCCCTATCTATTCTCTGCCTCCCGAGTCCCAGCTGATCGGGAGGAAATGGGGATTTTGCAGTATCCTTCCTCTGCCATGCCCAGCAAGCCACACCCACAGAACCGGTAGTAAAAAATTCTGAATCCCACCACTGATATGGACACTGAGAGAGAGGAGGATGCTTAATGTGAAAATATTTAAGCCTCCAGGGGGAAATAATCTTGAGAAGGCAACATTGTCTGGCATAGGCAGATTGTCACCTTTAATCATTACATTGATTACGAGTTGGAGAAGGAAAACTTGGCTCAATTAAACAGTAAAAATTTAGCCATGAGCATTCAAATAAAAGTTTGTTCTTTTTCTAACAACTTAAGAATGTGGGTAAATAAAAACAATCACAAGGGAACAAATGTATGACCGAATAGTAATTGAAAAAACATTTTTATTCCCAAAAAACACCAACCTGCTCATTCTAATAACTTCTCTTAAATAAAGAAGATAATTTTGATAAAGTAATAGGTTGATCAAGAAAAAATGCTACTTGAAGGCCATTATAGTTACTGAAAGTCTTCACCAAGCTTCGGAAGCACTGGACAATGTATTCATCAGCGGGCAATATAAGCACTACCTTTCCTCATTCTGTTTTTCCCCAGATTATTCATCATCTGTTTCCCATTAGGTTTCAATATTAACTATCAGGTAAAGATCAAAAGCACAATTTGCGTTCAAGGCTTTTTAGCTCAAGTTTTCTATTCTGGGAATTTGAAAGGGATTGGTAAACAACTCCTGTTTTTAATATGCATTAATATCTTAGCTAAAATAGAAAAATAAAGAGGATAGGAAGAGACTTCTGTATTTGTGCCTTGAAAAAAATGAAAGGTGCTGTCTGAGAGCTTTGAAGTCCATAAAGTTCAGAAATGTTGAGGGCTGAATTTAGTTCCTGGTAGAATCATGTTGCTTTTCTTTATTTCTCTTATTAGAAAGAGCCTGACAACCTTGGTCTGGAAAGCAATGAATATGAAGTTAAAATTGGCCTAATTTCCTGCGAGATCCAAATTGTTTCTGACAAAATCATTCACTGTTCAGTCAATGAATCTTTGAGCACTTCAGAAAGAAAACTCCCTGTTACGGTAAGTGATATGAGTCTGAAAGCATGTGCCAACATGTATATAATTTGCTTTGTAGCCCATCTAGTCTCTTATGCCCCATGGAATTTGGCTTCTATTATGAAGTCCAAGTAAAAATTTAAAAATAATATTTTGTCTTTGGCATCTATGTTGAAAGAGAATAATATCAAAACATTAATGAAAACATTCAAAGTTTGTAAGTATGGTGCCACAAAAAAGATAGCTTTGTGGCATCTTAAAAATGAATAGGTTTACTATAAAATAATAGTATTATGGTTAATAATTATCATAACAAATTAAATGTATTAGACCTTAAGACAATGATATGCAACTTTTCTTGATTTAAAGACTATACTAGGTTTTGCACAGTGACAAGGACTGCATGTCCAAAGTAGTGAGAACAAAGGACCACTTGGAGGGAAAGTTTCAGGGGTTTTGTCTTTTAAACCACCCACTTCATCTGTTCTTGAGTAGACTCTGAGAGACCCAAAAAGGATGCTGATTGGCTATAGGCAGTCCCTGGAACACACATTTTACAATCCCGTTTTACAGGTTACACAAGATCCTTCTTACATGAGATTGAAGAATGCATGAGAATGCATGGTTTTATCATGCTAAATTATCAGGAGCGGCTGATATTTCATTCAACACTATCTTTATATACACAGGTTGTCCATCCCTATGTTAAAATCTTTTAAAATATAATCTGAGAGGAAAAGGAAAACCTCAAGGATTGCATCCAATGATTTGGGAATTGTTAAATATTGTTGAGTATTGTCTTTGGAGCATCAAAATACACAAAGTCTATAAAGATTTGACATTCTTGCTTCAGACATAGATGGCACTTTTGATCAAGGAAGAGAAGGGATTCTCTGTGAATGTGGAGATTCATTGTACTTCGTGCTTTAAAGCTGTCCCTCTAATGAACAATATTCATCACAGCCTGTTTTTCAGTCATCCCACCTGAGGCTGGAAATAATGTTTTGGATTTATTCCCCGTAGAAGCCAGAAGATAGGTGAAAATCCAATTGAGTTGCTCACACTGTGTAAAATCCTGTGCTTTTGTTTCCTAGGCTTTCGAGGATAACATTTGTCCATTTAACAGGCTGCAATTTGCTTATTGTATTGGTCCTAACCTTTCTGATGCTTTTATTCTTTAATATTTTAATGTATTTTTTATTATTATGTTGCTGTGCCTTTTGATAAATGGAAATGGCTATTAGAGAGATTATGGACTCTGCTTCAGTGGATTATTCAGGCAGAGTTTCGACAGCCATCTATCAGGGTTGCTTTCATTTCGATTCCTGCAGTGAATATGGAGCAGACAATACCCATAACTTTTCCCCCATATTTGAACATCTTATTAAAAAGGGCCACATAAATTAAATTAAATTAAATTAAATTGATTTAAATGTATCTTAAAATGTTGGTGTACTTTTGAAAAGCTGAAAGAAATACCTATTGTATGTACCCGTAAATAAGCCCATTTGTGAATAAGCCAAACCCTATTTGGGGGATGTATTCTGGCACCTAAAATTCTTGATTTACTCCAGAGTTTCTATGGTAATAAGTAAATAATTAGAAGGAACACAGGTGGGCTGCAGTTGAGAATAGTGATGTAGATTTAACTTCTATACAATATTGCCCTCTATCCCCCATGTCCGTAAATAACAACAGTTCCCACATATGGAAGAAACCAAAGGAGACATACTCAGGGATATCACTGGGATGAAGATTAAATCTGCTCCCTATCCTTTCTGTTCATATTACCCGGAATGGAAAGCCATGTGATTCAGATTTAAACTCCCTAAGTTTCTCTTTGCCTCTTTAAAATATAATGCTTAAGTGTTACCAAACATTCACAAGGGGTGAGAAGAGAGGGAGACGTAAGTACAGTAATTCAAACAGAAAAGGAAGAGAGAGAAAAAGAAGTATCTTCGTGTGCCATTTTTAACGAAAAGATTCCAATGAAAGACCAGAAAGATTTTATCAAAGTGACTGGTTCTATCCAAAATAAATAATGGGGTGGAATAATTAAAAAACATAGAATGTGGTTTATTCCAAGTGGCAATAATTTAATGATGAATTGTAAGTCCTGGCTACCATTAATAATTGTATAATCTATGTGGTAACCCTCAGTAGTGTCACATTTTGTTCCTTCTCTGAACACATACACATACACACACACACTTAAGAATAACAGAGTTGTAAAGGATCTTGGAAGTCTTCTAGTCCATACACAGTTGCTCTTAGTAAGAAGTACTTTCAAGAATTTTCAGGACTGGCTGTGATATTAATTTTGGGATTAGGAACTTGGTCAGACCTTTAACTCAATAACAGATGCTCCACCCCAACTTTGATGGCAACAGTTCCTGATCAGATTTACCCCTTCTATTTCCATTACAATTCTGAGAAGCCTCTACCAATAGGGTTACAAGGCTTTGAAAAAGTAATTAATATTTGTTTGGCTTAAGATGGGTGAGGGAAAGCTTGAATTGTACCCTAGTAAAAACAATGGAGCCAGAGCCTGTCAAGTGCATTTCAAAATTAAGGCTTCCAAGAATACATCTAACATAATGTACAATATATTTTCAATAGCCAATGCTTTACTTACCAGCAGTTATCATCTAAATAGCAATAGCACTTAGATTTATATACCGCTTCACAGTGTTTTACAGCCCTCTCTAAGCAGTTTACAGAGTCAGCATATTGTCCCCTGTACCCCTCTCAGAAAGTCTGGATTCTAGGCACTGCTCTCTCATGCTGTAAATTTCTTTTTCTTCTACAAGCTTTCTTCAATATGTGATTGACTTTGTGATTTTATGAGTATTTCTGGGCTATATCACTTAGTTGTTCTGTATATCTTACTTTTCATACTGTTCATACATTGGCTTCTTAGGGGTGACAGACAGAGATTTATCTCCAAGGCCTAATAGTATATGGTATAGCTTTTACTATTTGCTCACAGCAAATACCAGTTGTCCCCTTTTTCAGTAAATGTATTCATATTAAATTGGCAGAAAAAAATGTTTTCATTGAAAGAGATAAAAAGAGAGGGACGAGTAAGGATAAAATCATCCTGTGAAGTGCAACATTTTATAAACATAAGATGAAAACTAAGCCAATGCATTTGAGAAAAGTTTTTCATTTGTGGGGTCTTTATATACTGAATTCCATTGCCAAAGCAAAACCAACAAATATTAGCACTGTGAATTTCCTGATATTTTGCTAATAAAATCAGATGTTAATCATAACGAGGGAGATGAGATTTGTGACTGCATGAGCAGCATACTGTACATGTAATTCCATGTACAATTTGTTCAATAGTCTATGCCGTATTAGCAATTTATCCAACGCCAGACTAGTCATATCACATCAGCTGTGTATGGGTGAAATATGGGTGATTTTTCAAACATTTGGCATCTATATTATAAGCCTTGTCTAACAACAAGGATGACAAGTTTTAGAAAATGTATTCTTCATCTCAAACTGATTGGGTAGGTGGTAGGTGGGTGGCTAGGTAGGGAGAGGGGAAGGGAGAGGGGGGAGAGAGAAATGCAGTTACAGTACAGTACAGATGATCCTTGACTTAAGACCAGAATTGAGCTCAAAATTTTTATTGTTAAGTGAGACATTTGTTAAGTGAGTTTTGCCCCATTTTACAACTTTGCTTGCTACAGTTGTTAAGTGAATCACTGCAGTTGATATGTTAGTAAGCTGGTTGTTAAGTGAATCTGGCTTCCCCATTGACTTTGCTTGTCAGAAGGTTGCAAAAGGTGCACACATGACCTTGGGACACAGCAACAGTCATAAATATGAACCAGTTGCCAAGCATCTGAATTTTGATCAGATGATCATGGGGATCCTGCAAAGATTGTAACTGTGAAAAACTGCCATGTCACATTTTTCAGTGCCGTTGTAACTGTGAACAGACATTAAATGAACTGTTGTAAGTTGAGGTCTACCTGTATTAATTTTTGGAAGAGGAAATCCCAGAATCAATACTACTGAAGATCTGAAGCCACAGCTAAGTTGCATTGCTGAGCCCTGATTCTATAATATTTAGGTGACCTGATGTTCCTTTTCTTCTCCTTTACAGGCTTTCATTGACATCTAGTACAAAGTCTGTGTCATTCCTTCCAAGGTCATCATTGCCTCTTTTCTTCTTTCTCGTTTATTTTTCTCAATGCTTGGAACGCTTTTCTTAGATGTCCATGTCAAGTTTCTGCTTAAAAGCTGTCCTTTCCATGAATCCATTTAGCTTCCTTCCATAAAACAAGATGGAAGCTATTATTGCTGAATTAGAAAGGCCAGCCATTATAGTAATAATAAGGAACGGTGGGATTGTGACGCAACAATAACTGGAAGCCTTGGATTCTCCATTTCTGTTGGATATTAAGCCTACTTTTAAAAGTTACACCTAGTACTTGCAACTACAGATGAGAATAAGCAGTCATTTGAGTTTCAGTCCAAATCAGACTTATCCATTGCTTGGAAGTGTTACCCATTGCTTGGAAATGTTACCCATTCCTCTGCAATATATTATCTACTCAAAATCTTCCCTTTGTCCCAGCTGTTATTTACCTCTGATTTGTTTTTTGTTGTTGTTGTCAGTAATATCTTTGGGAACAAATCACAATTGCAAAGGATTTATGGTAGAATAGTAGCCAGAAGGAAAGGGTAATCCCTTCTGTGAGCCGCAGTGGCACAGTGATTAGAATACTGTGGTTAGAATACAGTGCTAACTGCAGTACTGCAGTACTGCTGGCTAACTGCAATTTGACAGTTCTAATCTCACCCGTTCAAGGTTGACTCAGCTTTCCATCCTTCCGAGGTCAGTAAAATGAGGATCCAGATTGTTGGGGGCAATATGCTGATTGTTGGGGGCAATAGGCTGACACTGTAAAACCACTTAGAGCGGGCTGTAAAGCACTGTGAAGCGATATATAAGTCTAAGTGCTATTGCTATTGCTATAATAAAACATGGTCCAACCCTTAGGTTTTTTTTTTACTTTGAACTGATATAAAATACGGTATATTCTAGTGCTGTATCACTGTGCCAATGTTTTAGATCTTTTGTCTGTAGAACACCTCTCTGCTGTTCACTTAAATGACTGTATTTTTTTTCACCCTTCTCCATGAGTCTGAAAAAGTGTGCAACTGCTTTAAAGAGTCATCTTTTTGAAATTAACACAATCCAAATAGAGTCCTGGAAAGAGGGACTGCTTTAAAGAATAGCACTGAGGCACTATGCTTAGGGGCATGCAATGCAAGGTCCAAATAATTTTAGCGTTCACAGCTATAATATTGCTTATAAATGCTCTCCAATTACTATTTCAGTTTTTTCCCCTTCTTGCTTCTACTTCTTTTTTATACTCTCCATTCATCTTACAATCAAAACTCTACCAGTGGAGGAGTTTTTTAAAAAAAATAAAACGTGAAAACTGCCAAGATTCTGTTTTTGTTGGCTGCCGTATTCCCTGTATTGTAATAGGCTGGAATGTTCTGCCAGTTTTTAAAAGCTATGAATAAAGCTACATGTTTTCCTTATCTAATTAAAGGAGAATATGGAAAGTTCATTTTATTTAATCGCTATAATACATATTGATTTTTGTCTTCAAAATCTGAAGGCTAAAACCATGTTTGCCCAGCATTTAAGATATGTGAATAAATCAGTTTCTTCACCTGAATCTTTCTCTGGACATGAGTTAGACTTCTTGATATGCTGATGTAGCCAACAGTGAGTTACTGTACTTCTCACTCTATGAGTGGGAAACCAGATAAAAGCATACCTGGACATTAGAAGCACAAAAGACATATGGAAACAAAGAGAGTATCAGTAGTCCATTAAGTAGTATGAGCTGAAAAAACTAAACATTTTTAGAATTTTGGCTTTATAACTAATTATTAACTGCGCTTGCTGAAATTCTGTTGGCACCGGCTTTCAGCTTTCTTCAACACATTCTATTTATTCTGAGTTCTTGGATTTTCTTATAAGCCTATTACATGGGTCCGTTCCTGCCTTGAGCTGAATCATGATGCTTGCTGGAAATGACTATACTGGAAATTATTACATGTAATTTCCTAGTCACCTATTTCTCATACCTCTACTGCTGTTTGACTACCAGATTCCCAGATCAGTAGGTGTAAATTATTTCATTTCTTTCTCTTTAATTTCATTTCCATTTTACCAACATAATATCATCGACCAAAAGATATCTTTGATCAAAACTGCCTGAAGAATGATAGAGATACAGTATTGTTCAATATAGCATGGACTTTCTGGCCCAATGGTGGGGGTTGGGAGGCATTGTGTTACAGTGCTTCATCTACTTTTTCATCAGGTGGTTCTAATTAGTGTTGAGGGGAGAGATAGCACCCACAGGCCCTCACTGGTGGGGTTACTCAAGGTTTAACACTCTCTCTTCTCCTGATTAACATTTACAACACTCCACTAGATGAAGTTCTCTGTCAGTTGGTATCATCAGCATATTGATGATATCCAGTTTAACAAGTGCAAGTGAAGCTATTTAGGAACTGAATCAGCATCTGGTGGCTGTTTGGGTCTGAATGGGAAAGAAGAGACTTTAACTCAATCCTGACCAAAGTAGTTATAGTTGTTTGGTCTCCCGGTGTTGTGGCCCACCAGCCACCAACAGAGCTAGCAGCAGACTCGGATGATGAGGAGGTTGGAGAAGAACTTGGGCCATTCTGGAGCCTAGGGAAGGCTCTGATGGATGCTCAGCATCGGACACAGAGATAGAGCCAGCCACTGGAGAGGCAGCTGCCTTTGGAGTCAGAGTTGAGTGAGGAGGAGGAACAGCTGGGGCCTGTTCCAGATGTGCATATGTGCAAGAGCAGATAGGAGAGGTGAACAATGGAGGACAAGGAGTCAACTCGAGAAGCAAAACAAACGACAATGCTGAATGGGCCCTCCCTGGCTCGGGAATAAATAGGAGGAAAGGGGAGTAGTGGTCGTAGCAGACAACCATTCACATTTCTGGAGATTCTTCTCATTGTGTTTCATGCGACAAAGACTGCCTTGGCAGAACTGAGGTTTGTTTATTTGAACTGACTTAACTTGCAGCCTTTTGGCTGGGAGCTCATGGCCTTGCAATTGTTGTAACAAGCTGATAAGGCCTACTGCTTCGGTTAACTCCTTGCAGGACTCTTGCCTGGACTTTGTGGGTGAATGCAGTTAATTCACAAGGTGTAAATAAAGAGGGATTTTTCTTTGCGAGGAGTTTGTTTCTTGGTTCTGCGAAGGCTGGGTCAGAACACTCCGTTCATGACATTCCCATCATTTGTCTTGAATAGGGTTACATTTCCCTCCTGCTCCTCCTGCTCCTCAAAGAACAGCTGTGACCAGGGCGATCTTTGTACAGGTACATCTTTTGTGCCAGTTGTGCCTCTTCCTTGATCAGGAGGCTCTTCAGATGGTCATCCACATCCTGGTCACCTCACATCTGAACTGTTTTAATGAACTCTACCTGGGGCTTGAAGACCATCCAGACACTAAAAATGGTTCCAAATGACTTGAGCAGTAATGAAGATAATCCTTGTCATGCCCATGTGTCAGCACTTCTATGGAGGCAGCATTGGCTACAGATGGTCTTCCGGTGCAGTTCCAAGGTGCTGCTTGTTATCGTTTGTTATCTTTAAAACTCATCATGGCCTAGAGCCTGGCTATCTGAGGGACCACCACTCTCCCATTGTTTCAGTCTTCCCAGGACATTTGGGCAGAGTGAGTATGCTTGAGATCCCCTCAATTAAACCCTGTTTTCTGGGAAGGCAAGGAAGCATCTCTTCTCTGTCTCCACCCCTGCCCATCTCCCCAAATATATGGAGGGCACCCATTCTCATGGGGTTCTAAAAAGCCCTTAAAACATTTCTTTGATCCAAAGCCAGAGGTTAATAGGGATATGTGTGTTTTATACTAGCTGTTGTAATACAGGATGTCTTGTTTTGCTTACATTTTTAATTGTTGTAACTTTGTATTAGATTTTGTAAACCATCCAAGGTCTATTACAGGGGAGTGTTATAACGAACAAATTAAATAAGAAATTAAAAATCATTTGTAGTAATAATGGTTATTATTTTAATTTGGAAATGTAATAAGTCTGTAGAGATTCTCAGTCATCCAGGTCATGGTTGTCCCAAAGGTGCTTTTTTCAGGAGGCAACTGAACTTTCTTGTTTTTTTCTTTTGAAGACGTTTCGCTTCTCATCCAACAAGCTTCTTCAGCTCTGTCAGGATAGTGGGGATCCTTCCATTCCCCATTATCCTGTCAGAGCTGAAGAAGCTTCTTGGATGAGAAGCGAAACGTCTTCAGAAGGAAAAACAAGGAAGTCCAGTTGCCTCCTGAAAAAGCATCTTTGGAAATGCAGTGGATAAACTTCAAAGTAAACTAAAACTTGCTGAAAGCATGTAAGTTACTTTATAGATATATTCATATTTGGGATACAAACAGTTCCTGAAAAGGTACCTATACTTTTAAAAATAAACAGAACAGGAAAAAAAAAAACCCTAAAGAAGTTGACATACTTTCTACAAGGATTCTTTGCTGATCAGGAATATTAACTTTACTCTTTTACTTTATATCCTAATAGTATTATCATGTAACCTCTGTGCAGCTGTTTCCATTTTTTTGCCAATCTGCCTGAGGATCCGTTATCCCCAAGCTCATTATTCTTTGTACATATACACAGGCCTGTGATAACAGTTGTCAGATCTGGAAATGCTAATCAAAATAAGTCTTGCTATTAAGTTACATTATTGTGATTATTGCAAAATTAGAAACTATGTACTTTGCTAAGTTCAGGCATTCGTGTCCCTTATAATGTGATTTCTTTATTTCTTCTTTCTTTTCATTAAATAACCGGGCGATAGCTTCTCTCTGTTCTTTCTTAGATCCAAGTTGGGAAATTCAATCAAACAATTGCTATGTTGCATCTTGGAGGAAGTGAAACAGCTATCACAGTTTCAATAGTCATCTGTAGCATCTTACTCCTGTTCTCTATTGTAGGTAAGAAACCATACTGACTCCAAGTGTGTTAAGCATGTATTTTCAACACACTGAAATTGTTAATATCAATAAAATAATGTACTTACCTTAATAGGAGATTGGGTGGGCAACATTTATGGGATGACCACTTTTTCAGTAATTATTTTGGGATTTAAGGATTTTTAAAAGATGTTGACCTTAGAAGGCAAAGCAGCGTGCACATGTGCTGGTGCACATGCGCATCGTACATGTGAGCAGAACTCAACTTTGTAGATTTCTTCTCCATTTCAGTATGGAAGTCTCTTGTTTTTCCCTTTTTCTCGACTGATACGTCCAGACTCTAAATACACCATAACTGTGTCATTTCATCATTTAAAGTGGCAGGAAATTAAATTATTAAGATTTGACAATTATTTGGTGCCTCTGGAACATGCAGAAAATAATCTTGTGAACAGCATGTAGAATATTAGCTGTCTACTCCTGTACAAATTTAAATTAAATACCGATATTTCAATATAATAATATTTATTGTGGAAATGGAACGTCATACCTTGCCAAGAAACATGAAAAATGAATTATATCACTCCATATATTTCTATCCTTGCAAACCATCTTTGGTTCTACCCTGTCCATATATCACTTCTTACAGGCCTTTTGGTTTTTTAAGCTTCTCTGTATTTTCTTTTTGAGTATATTGCCTAATCCACCTACCCTTTTTCTCAGTCTCCCACTTTATTTTTTATCCATTCATTCTTCTTTCATATACTTTATTTCCCAATACAGTCTTCTTTCTCTTCCTAGCAACATGCTATCTTAACATTCATCTCTCACTGTTTATTCATTCCACATTCATTCAACACCCATTCATTCTTGACTCTTCTCATTTTACCACACATGTTGCCTAAGTACCTTATTCTGGTTATAATTCAACTTTTATGTTCCTCCTGACATATCCAATTCTAATTTCCATATAACAAGGTGAATAGAGCCACAATCTGATACACAACCATTTTTACTTCTTTCAACAAATATTCATTTCTCAAAGATAATCACATATTACCTATCACTTTTGTAGTGTAATTTGTACATCTTAATATTTCTTCAACCATTTCCCCATCTTTAGGAAACATTTCTAGGTACACAAATTCATTTATTTTGATATATGCATTATTTCTATCACCTATCACTCTTATTGTATTCAACAACCAAGCTTTAACTCTATAATTGCAGAAAAAGTCATTATCAATTAAGTTTCTTTGCTTTATCAGATGCTTTCTCTAGGCCAACAAACATACAATAAACAGCCATTCATACATTTCTGCTAAATGCAAAAATCTAGTTTTCACACTTCCCAAATGTTGGCTATCTGCATGCTATCTTAATCGGGATTCTATTATATGGCTTGAATTTATACCCTCAGCATTACTTTTTTAAAACATTCTCATAGCATATATGATTTCATTTTCATCCATTTTTTATGGGATTTTAGTGTTTCATTAATTCCATTCATTAACATATCATTATCATTCGGATAAAATGTCTAAAATGTTCCTTGGCTCACTAATGTTTAATTCTCACTTTTAATTCTTAATATCATCCATTCTGCTGGGGGCTCCTTGTTTAGCCTTTTCACCATTTGCAAAACAATTTTTATTCATGTCAGAATCATTGCATTTTTTCTTTCTCTATAACCTTATCGTTCCTTACGCTTTTTAACATTCTTTGGCATTATACTTTTCTCAGCCTGGCCATTGTATAAAGTTTTTCTAACATGCTCATTTTTGCAGCATTGTTCCTGTATATATACATTCTTTATATGTATTTATTGTTCTCCACAGCTACTTAGTCTGTTATCATTTGACCAGACATCCTTTTCCAAATTTTCTATCAGTGCAGTTGCAGTTTTCAGTGCATTCTGTAACAGAAAACTTTTCACTCATCCAAGCAATATCCACGCCATCTTTCCTTGGGTCCACTTTTTGTTCATTTTGTTAGGAGATTAATCTATTTTATAATTCTTTTTCAAACAGGATATGTATTTTCTCTCTATTATTTCATTCTTGTTTTTAACTTTCTTTTTCCTCAATATTTTTCTTCCTATGATCTACCTTAACACTTCCAAAATGGCCTTTCCTTCAATCAGAACATCTCATTATCTTTTTAGCACCAAATCAATCATGCTTTTAGATATATATCATTATTATTATTTTTTTGCCATTTATAAGTTATGGAAAAACAGAGATCTTTTATGCTCTTTTAAGCACATTCAAAACATAACTAAATTAATGTTAATATTTATTGCTTTAATTTTTCATTGTTTTTAATGATTGTAAACTGTCTAGAATTGCCTCCAGAATGCGATGGACAGATATAAATTGAATGAAAGAATGAATTAATGAACAAACAAACAAACAAACTCTGCTTTTCCCTAAATTATCTTTGGTTCTTCCAACACTGCCATTCTGTGAAGCATAACATATACCTATCATCAACCTAGAGATTCCTACTTTTAATGTGCAAGCACAACCTAAATCACATCAATTTATACTTTCTGACATAAATTTTATCCCTTTAATTCATATTTAAAATTACCTTCGTACAATATACTTTGTCATATCTATTCATTTAAGTCCACTTCTTGAGATCATATCTCCTTTATTCAGATCTGCTATATTTTCCCCCTTTCTTTTATTTTAAGAGTGGCATCTGCTTTTCTTCCATATCATTTGTTAATTTATGCTTTTTATCATTTTTTTAAAAAATTATTTATTTTGTGACTGAATCAGTGGTGACTGTACAGATACGTCCCTGCAGTTTTCTTGGCCATGGAAGTGGTTTGCCCTTGCCTCTTTCTGAGCTGAGAGTGTATGACTAGCACTCAAAGCTACCCAGACTTTTTAGGGAAACCAACAGAAAAGATTGTAAATATCAATCAGGTGATCCTGGGGCAGTTGGCAATCGATCATAAGTACAAACAGGTTGCCAAGCACTCAGATCACAATCACATGACAACAAGTGGGCTGGACAGCCAGAACTCCAAGGACTGATTATAACCACCGTTTATTCAGTGCTATCATAACTATTATATAACTTTTCATAACTATTGCTGACCAAATGGTCATAGATCGAGAACTGCCTGTATACTGTTTCCTACATCCAACTGACTTGAAAGTATATACTATATATTGCAAGGTTGCAAAAGAAAGTTTTTATTTCTTGGTACAAAGCTACCAAGATATACTACATTACAAAGATTTAAATCTATTAAGCGGATCAGATTGGTTTTCAATAAATCCTTATATAAAATCCATGCATATACTTAATAAGATAGTTATTTTACAATTATGATTTCTAGTTGTTTTAATTATATACAATTAATATTATCTTTGTTTATTCAGTTTATAACTTGCTTTTCTGCCCCACAAGCCAAAGCTATTCATAAAACTTATAGAAATTTGTTAAGCAAATATAAATACAATTTATTTTTATTGTATTTTTACTAAATAATAATCCGCTAATTAAAATTATATTTAACTTTCTCATTTCATTGTTTTTAGTCATTCATTCTGGGCATAAATTTGTCTTGCATATTGCAATGTGCTGTTAAATTCTGCCAAGTTTTGCTGCAGGATACATATTAATGAGCCTGATTATAATGTTAATATTTTTCTGTGCCAAAATAGTTAATATTGTGCCAGAATTAATACAAAGATAGGTTCTGAGAGGTTTTATCAGATGTTCACAGTCATTAGATCAATTTACATGTAACTTAAAGAGTATAAGCAGTAGATTCATGTAAGCTGCTTTTCCCCGCTCTGTTCTGATTGCAAGGAGGTGACAGTAAACATTAGCTTCCACTGTCATACACTGATATTTTTTTTTAATGCTTGAATGAGAAATTGTCTTTAACATTCACTAGGAAATTTCAAGTGCACTAGCAAGATTGAAAAATATCTCAGAAGAAAACAGTGTATTCTAGAATGATGCATGTGAACAACACGTGTGTAAACCAGGAGTGAAATGCTACTGATTCGGGCCAGTTCTCCCAAAATACTACCAGTTTGCCCGAACCGGTAGTAAAAAAAAATGGTTTAAAAAAGTAAAAAAAAGTTCTGACGATCACGCAGCACAGCTGATTGTCGCACAGCTGATCGTTGAAACTCTTTTTAAAAAACTTTTTATGCATTTTTTTACTACCAGATCACTGGAACCAGTAGTAAAAAAATGCTTTAAAAAGTAAAAAAAAAAAAAGTTTCGACCATCAGCTGTGCGACAATCAGCTGTGCCGCGCAATTTATATTCGCTAGAAAGCAGGAAATCCTGCTTTCTAGTGAATCTAAATTGCGCGGCACAGCTGTTTCCCCCCCCCTCGCTGTTCTACTTACCTTTGCAGACTCAGAAAAGGCTTCTTAGCGCCTGCAGTGTGCATGTGCACAAAGCGTGCATGCGTACGTGAAGCAAACCAGTAGCAGACTTCAGAGCATTTCACCCTTGGTGTAAACATATAGTAACCAGGAGTCAAACTTGACTCAAGGAAGCATATATTTAATCTTATATTTTCTTCAATATACTTTATATTTTCTTATCCTTAATTCTTATTTGCAACTAGTGCTTGTTTCAGTATACCAGACCTAACTATTAGCCTTGGTTTGGAAAGACCAGTCATAAATAGTTGAAAATGGTAGCAGAAGCTTCCACTCTCATTCTAAGAGAAGAAAGGAAGAAGTAGCATTTAAATTTATGCTGGTAGTGCTAAACTAGGAAGCATGTATGGTTTCAGATGGCATTGAAATACAACTGATGGGATCCTTCACAAAGGTCCTTACTAGACCAGTTGGAGATATTGGTTCAGGATGATAAAGTAAATAAGTTGCATACTTTTGTGTTAAGGTATAGTTTGGCACGAAAGGGACGTGGTGGCTCAGTAGCTAAAATGCTGAGCTTGTCGATCAGAAGGTCGGCAGTTCAGCAGTTCAAATCCCTAGTGCCGCATAATGGGGTGAGCTCCTATTACTTGTGCCAGCTTCTGCCAACCTAGAAGTTCGAAAGCACGTAAAAAATGCAATTAGAAAAATAGGGACCATCTTTGGTGGGAAGGTAACAGCATTCTGTGTGCCTTTGGCATTTAGTCATGCCGGCCACATGATCACGGAGACGTCTTCGGACAGCGCAGGTTCTTTGACTTTGAAACGGATGTGCACCGCCCCCTAGAGTCGGGAACGACTAGCACATATGTGCGAGGGGAACCTTTACCTTTACCTTTATAGTTTGGCATTGTGACTGTGCAGAGATTTAATAAAATAAATGCGATTGCACGCAATAAGATACCTCTTAATTGATACAAGATTTTCTGTTGTTTTTAGATCCATTTCAAATCCATAGTACAATTTTTTTAAGTCCCTTCAAGCTTGGGGGAAAGTTCTTGGGAAAAACACCTATTTTCATCTATACTTCTTCATATTTTGAACTGCTTCCCAAAACTTCTCTTAGCTTCTTATTATCTGATTTGTTAGTGAATAACAGAGAGAGAACTTTTCAGTCCTGGTGACTAGTTTGGAGTGCTCTTGCAAGAGATACTCATTTGGGATTCAATGAGAGGTCATCTGGTGTTAAGCAAACACCTACTTATCTTCCAAGTCTTTTTAGAGTTTGGGGGGGGGGGTTTGCAAAAAAAACCCCTGACTTTCATTTATTTTATTAAAATTGTAGCTTTTGATTTTATTTTAATATTTTATTTTATGGCATTTGGAGATATAAATAATAACAAAATAATAAATAAATGATACATTTTAATATTTGCAGATGCATGGATTATCCATGTACTTCATAGTTCAGTTGTTTATTATGTAAATTAAGATACTCATTTGGGATTCAATGAGGGGTCATCTGGTGTTAAGCAAACATCTTCTCTTCCAAGTCTTTTAGGGTTTGGGGGGGTTTGCAAAAAAAAACCCTGACTTTCATTTATTTTATTAAAATTGTAGCTTTTGATTTTATTTTAATATTTTATTTTATGGCATTTGAAGATCTAAATAATAACAAAATAATATTAAATAAATGGCACATTTAATATTTGCAGATGCATGGATTATCCATGTACTTCATAGTTCAGTAGTTTATTATGTAAATTAAATGGGTTAAATTAAATGGGTGATACATTTGACAATGGGTGTTGTCATTCAGTCTTTTCTGAAACTTTTTGATCCATCAGACATAGTTTCTCCAGGATGGCCTATCAGTAATTGCTTGCTATAAGTTATTGCTTGTGTCATCAGCGACAGTTTCTAGCCACCTGCTCTTCTGACAGCCCTGTTTTCAGTTGTCTTTAATTTGTCCAATTAAAGAGAATTTATTATTTATTATTCCTGCTTTCACACTAAAGTATATGTCCAGAATGTTTAAAGTCTAGTTTCACTACTAGTACTTCCAGGGAACAGTTTAGCCTTATTTCAGCTAATACTTAACTAATATTCAGCTAATATTTAATACATATTGACATCTAAATACAGGTATATTCCTCTGGTGTTTGGTATTTTCTAAAATATCACAACTGGTGTCTTCTGTAGGAAGAACAATTGAACTTCCTAATCCTCTGGAAACATCTTTTGATACACAACTCAATGGACTAAATCTCCAACCCAGCTCTGATAATTGTTTGTCTTTCCAATTGATTGGAAAGCTATTATAGCAGCAGCTTCTGGAATAGTAGATTATATTATGTGTACTTTTTGTTAACAAATAATCATAAATCCAGTGCTAATTTAATACAAAACATTCAGTTGTTATTTTGGCTTTGGGGTCACTTTTTCCCATTCTGTTTTCCAGCGCTGTTTGTGTTTTGCACCAAAAGCCGACGAGCAGAGCGTTATTGGCAAAAAACTCTGCTGCAGATGGAAGAGATGGAGTCCCAGATTCGGGAAGAAATCCGTAAAGGTAAGAGTCTGTACTTGGGCAGAACAGAGGAGTCCATTGATAGCAAAGAACTTTGTCCTCTGGAATGCTCGAAATAAAATTTGTGCATATGATCATTTAGGTCTGGGTTATGACCTTTAAAGCCCTTAATGGTATAGGTCATCCTGCTAGGACAAGCCCATTTTACTTGGGCCAGCAGGGAAGGCCTACTTTGGATCTCATTGGTCAAAGAATTCCAACTATCAGGATCCAGAAGAAGGGCCTTCTCTGCTGCAGCACCCGGCCTTTAGAACGTCTTACCTTTAGGGTAAGATCTGCCCTCACCCTCCTATCCTTCCGTGAGAGCCTGAAGAATTGGGTCTGCCATTTGGCTGGGATTAAATGGGGGAGTTCCACACTGGAGGTGGCTGGTGGATTGATAGCAAACTACACCTCTCCTCCCCACTTGCTCTCTACCCTCCACCCATCTTTTTGGTTATCACTTTGATGTATTCTCGTTGTGTTCTGAAAAGCTGACAACCCAGGTTTTGACACCCAAGTGCTGTACAACAGGATGAGCTCCCATTACTTGCCCCACCTCCTGCCCAATTAGCAATTCAAAAGCATGCAAATGCGAGTAAATAAAGAGGTACCACTTAAGTGGGAAGGTAACAGTGTTGCGTGTACCTCAGCGTACAGTCATGATGGTCAAATAACCATGGAAATGTCTTCAGACAATGCTGGTTCCCTCGGCTAACAAATAGAGATGAGCACTGCCCCCCTAGAGTCAGACACAACTGAAAAAGGGAAACCTTTACTTTTAGAGTAACCCCATAGCGAGACAGAAAACAAATAAATTTAACAAATAAATAAATTACAGAAAGTTAGCTGACATAAAAAAACCAGACACCTATGACATTTAGTCTTGTGACTGAAATCAGATTTTTGGAGAACTGTAAAATGCAGTTGTTAGGGTGTGTGTAAAAAGTATTTGTTGCTTGTGCAACGAGCAGAGCAGAAACACACAGGGAAGGAGATAAACGTGCAGCTCGTGTGAGAAAAATACTTTATATACAAGATAATAAGCAGTCTCGGTGTAAGTAAAACAGTCCAAGGTCATAAACAGTAATATCAGTCCAGTAAGTATCTTCCCTTACCAAAGCAAACAGACTTTAGTAACTCTCGGTATACAGTACCATATAACAATTCAGTCTAACACCAATCAGCAGAAAGACGCAGGAAGCAACAGGAACAGGATCAATCAGGAACAAAGAACGCTTCTCTGCGCTGCTTATTTATGCACTGTAGCCTAATTACAGGGTTCAGCAAACCCTGATTACGTGGCTCAGTTGTTTCTTAAAGAAACAGATATATTGCCTGACCAACAAGTTAGGAGTAAGCTACAAGCTGAACCTAACAGCAGTTTTCCTTGGAAAGTGTGAAACTATATTATTTTGAGAGAAGAGAAACTGAAATTGTACATCCTCAAAATTTCTATTTAGCTGGCTATATTTGTGAACTTGAATTTGGCTATTTTGATAAGGCACAGCCTAAATTGAAAAATTTGTTCATTGGCATTATAAATTGATAAACAATCAAAAGAATATTTATCTTTATCTTTATTGGGTGTTTTTCAGAACAATGATACTAAAGCCAATGCTAGCTACCTTGTGTATGACTTAAACTTTTAGTTATTTTGGGACATTTATATTCTGTAGAATCCACTGATAAAAAGAGTTAAACTAGCATTGCATATTGTTGATGGCAGAAGACTATAAAAAAGTCTTAGCCCATTAATCTGCCTAGATATAAAGGGATTTTGTTTGGGAGATAATTAACATGAAAAATTTGCTACAGATTAGGTAGAATAATACACTGTTGGTATATTCAGAACAAGTTATACATTGAATGAAAGTGGCTTATTCTCTTCATTATGGTTTCCTTCAATCAGGTTTTGCTGAACTTCAGACAGATATGACAGATCTTACCAAGGAGTTAAATCGCAGCCAAGGAATTCCATTTCTTGAATATAAATACTTTGTGACTCGCACTTTCTTTCCCAAAGTAAGACAAAGTAGCATACTACTATTATTTATGTATAGGTTTTATATGCCACTTTATTTAGCTCACTCTGAGTAGCGTACAACTTGCAAATCTTTATTTTCAGATTATAAACAAGTTTTAAAAATCTAACCATACATTATAAATTGTCATTTTTGATGATTTTAAGCTCTATATATTTATGCATATATGTGTCAGTTTTTGTCAAGCCGTCTGTCAGGGGTGTGAATGCTATAAATATGTATCATTCTGATACACAGCACACAAAAAAAGTATATTAATTTTTCACAAAGCAGACTTTACCACTTTTAGCTTTAGAAAATTACTAAAATGTATGGCAAGTATCTGATGAACACTTCTTTAAAAATGGACATCTGTGAGAAACTGTAGGCTTATATCTTTTGGTGGGACTTCTCTATTCCCCCTCTATTCCCCCAGTTGTTTCCCCCACATTTTTGGAAACTTTAATTTTAGAAGCAGAATAAATGAAAGCAGATAAAATATAAGCAACTACATTCTATCCAAAGATATTCTGAATGCAAAACTCAAAAAGTTTTTTTTCCTCCAGATCACTCAAACTTTAGGCAATTCTACAAATGTAGAAGAATAAATCAGTTCTATTCTTTTAGTCTTTTTTAAGGTACAATAGTGCAGATATTCCAAAGCCACTGTTTGTGGATTTATTCTGAATAATTCTCTCTTTGCTGGGGAAGCCTGAATGTTGGACGATTGAGTTCATGATCTCAATATTGTGAGAGCTTTGCTTTTCCAAAGTGCGGCTTGTCAAAAGTTGTTCTATTTGTTCATTCAAAAATCTGCAGCCAGGAGTTTAAAGATTCCATAAGGCACTTAAATTTATTGATAAACTTATATAAAGAGCCATGGTGGCAGTTATAATGCAATTTTTCAGGCTAACGAGCCGAGGTGGTTACAGTGCAATACTGCAGGGTACTTCAACTGACTGCTAGCTGCAGTTCAGCAATTCAGATCTCACCAGGCTCAAGGTTGACTCAGCCTTCCAAGGTGGGTAAAATGAGGACCCAGATTGTTGGGGGCAATATACTGACTCTGTAAACCACTTAGAGAGGGCTGTAAAAGCACTATGAAGCGGTATATAAGTCTAAGTGATATTGCTATTGCTAACTCTGCATACAGCCAGGAATTCGATCCTGGCCGGCTCAAGGTTGACTCAGCCTTCCATCCTTCAGAGGTCAGTAAAATGAGATTGTTGGGGGCATTAGGCTGACCCTGTAAACCGCTTAGAGATTTAAATTAAAGATTAAAGCAGTATGAAGTATAACTCTAAGTGCTATTGCTATTGCTATTTTTTTTCTAATGAGAGATCTCATGTCATGATATCTTCTTATAGCTGTCAAATAGTAATGTTCTAGTAACGTACAATTTAGCAAAGACATGAAGAATTAAACTATGCCGCTTTTTTTGCTAAATTCAAAATTCTTGCTTCCTCTGTTTATTTTTCCTAGTGTTCTTCTCTCTATGAGGAGCGATACATACTGCCTTCCCAGCACCTCAATTCCCAGATGGGGTCTCAAATCCAAGAAACTCACCCATTATTGTTGGGAGAATGGAAAGTATGTAATTCTTTGGTAAATCCAGCTTAACTACCATGTTTCCCTGGAAATAAGACCCTGTCTTATATTTTTTTGAACCCCGAAATAAGTGCTTGGCCTTATTTTGGGGGATGTCTTATTATTTTGGGGTACGTGGAGCAAGACGGGTCTCCTCTTGCCATCATATCTGATTTCCATCTCTGTCTCACTAACCCTAACCAGAGGAAATGGCGGAGACCAGCTGCGCATGCTTTAAAATATTTTCAGGGAGGGCTTATTCTCGGGGAGGGCTTATTTGGGGGGGGCTTGTTTTAGCCCATGCGATCAAAAGCCCAATTGGGCTTATTATCAGGGGATGTCTTATTTTAGGAGAAACAGGGTATTATACCCATCATAGTACTGATCAGCTCATTTTATTATGAGTGTTTAAGAATACAATATATTTGGGATAGTGGAAAAGAAAAAAAAACAGAGTAGCTAGTTTCTTCTCAAGGAAATAGAAGAAACTGGCGAAATCTCTTTATGACTTGTACAGAATTAGAACATATTAAATGTTTGTGAAAATACATGATATAGTGTGAATATAGCTACTGTATATTCAGTTTTTGACTTATTCCTGAAGAAATTAGTTAATATCACTGATTTATTTGCATTCTTTACATCTGTAGTACTTGTCCATAATGTCTAAAGTAATTTATTTTAGCCAAAGAATTCAGCCTGATATAAGCCCACATGGTTACTACTTCCATTACTCTAAAAATAGTGCTTAGTGATTCAAGTTTAATTTTTTAAAAAGTGTGTGAATGCAATGCAAGGAATTCTATTGCTGCTTTCTTTTCTTTAAGGTAAAGCCAGAGAATAGTCTACTTTTTGTACAAATCATAATGAAATCGCTATTAGATTTACCGTTAAAAGGGTTCTGACTAAATTGGAGGAGCTTTGACATAATAGAGTTCAAACATCTAGTTTAAAAATCAGATAATATATGTATCTGATTAATTAGGCTCATAATAGGAAATCTAATATTAATTTCCTTTGTTTGCATACTAGGGTGTCATGTCTTAATATTGGTTTTAGTGTGGTTATTGGCAGGTTTATTTTGTACATTATGTGATAAAAGAAAAATATGAAGCATTCAGATTTTATCCAGATTGCTGATTTTTCCTTAGATTCCTGAAAACTGTAGACCAAATATGGAAGAAGGAATTGCATTGTTCTCCACCTTACTTAACAACAAGCACTTTCTCATTGTGTTTGTCCATGCTCTTGAGCAGCAAAAGGATTTTGCTGTACGAGACAGGTATGACTCTTTGAAATCTTAAGCTAATGTAAGATAACACAAATTTAATTCAAGCTGGCTACAGCTGTTATTCTGAAAAATTAGATGAGTCTATACTGGGGTTTTTTTTTCATTGAAAAATTCTATTTCTATTCTATTTCTGAAAAATAGAATGTTTTTTTCTGTTTTCTGTACTGTTGCTCTGTTTTTTTAAACCTAGTATTTGTGCTTATAGAAAAATGTTTTATTTAATTATTTAATAAACTGGAGCATAGTGCTTGTTATGAATATTACATAACAAAAATATTTGTAACTATACAGGTAATCCTCAATATACAACCAGGTGTTTAGTGATTGTCCAGAGTTACAAGATTCTGTTCAGAAAGATACTTTACAACCTTCTGGCCATCATAAAATGACACACACAGACAGGGTGCATGACTGCATTTCAGGTGCTTGGCAAAAGATTTATATTTCAATTTGTTGCAGTGTCTTACAATCATGTGACCACAATTTGCAGCTTTTTTTTTTTTTTTTTGCTGATTTATGGCAAAAAAGACCTGTTTGGGAGAATGGAATCTAACTTACAGCTGTGTGATTCAGTTAACAATCACCGTAAAAACATTTGTAAAATTGGGTTGTAGTTTTTAATTCCATCTTCAAGTCCATTTTGGTAATCTTCAGATGAATTTGTTCATCTTCAGTAAGAACTGAAGTAAAGTGTTAAAAAGCTCAAGCACTTCACAGACCAAATGTTTCATTTAAAGTAGCCATCTTGTTCCATAGTAATTGACCTTCAAAATCTTGTCTTGAGTTTGAAATGTAAACAAGACAGATTTTTTTTCCTACCCAAGAGCATCTTTCTAATTAACTTCAAATCTTTCCTTAATCACAAAGCCTTAGCATTTAAAAACTTTTCAAAGGCAATTCTAAAATCATCCTTTTGCTGTAGATTGCAAAAAAATGGCAAAGGAAAAAAAAAGAAAGGACTTACAAAGCTGAAAGCATGTAGTTTTCTTTCTTTTTAAATGAATTGAAGAGAACCTCAACCAGCAGATTTGTGGTTCCAAAGGATTTCAATCGTAAAGAAACAAAAAGTGATTTAAAATATTAAGTTTGGTTGAACCCTGAGGCCATGAAAGGCTGATTCACAGCTTGATGGAACCCACAACTCCCAGGTGATCACAAGAGACTGCAGAAATATCTATTTCTGCCAGTTACTCACAAAAATCAGCAGCCCGGAGTATTTGTGGGCAATCTCTGATTCTCTTGTTATTCCAGAGAGAACTTTGGCAGTCTATATCCCACATCAACCTTTTGGCCTTTTTACCTAATGCCCCTGCAATCTGTGAAATGGGGAAAAAAATGTGAGTGTTAGTTTGCCTTGCCTCACTAACTTTTAAACACACACTTGGGGAGCAGCCTTGATGGCAACAAGCATATATGAGCATATATGGCTTGCCAACTTTTGTGAGAAGAACCATTCAATACCCACAACATCACAGATGCTCATATTTTGAACCAAACGGAAAATTGATAGTACAGAAAATTTCTTGTGGATGCTCAAATTTAGAAATGGCTGAATGACAGATGGTGAGGTTATATTACCTTATACTAAAAAAAGTAGGGGGGGATTCAAAAGGAGCTAAGTAGAAGGACCATTCCCTGAACCATTTCCATTTTTATTATTAATGTAGATCTGAACAAGTAGCCAGGACTCTCAAGGGCTGTATCTGCAGTGAAATATATCTTTCCTTAGAAATCAAATGCTCCTGCTGTTCTTGTCTTGCTTTAAAAACATTGCCATGCTGTAGCTCAACTTGCAGGTGTTAACCTTCTCTATTATTATCTCCTTTTTTCTTGTAACGATTGGCATCCATTTCTGTCAAAGGGTGGCATAATACAATGTGATTATGCACAGCTGTGATACATATGGCTTGAAACATCAACACTTTTGAGGAGCTTTGTGAAAGCAATTTGGAAGGTTACCATGGTTTTAATTCCTGTTCATGTTGATTGATGAATCGCATGTGGTATTATCAGTCTCAGTTATTATTCATTAACTCTTTCTTCAGATGCAATCTGGCCTCCTTGCTTACTGTTGCATTGCATGGGAAACTGGAGTACTACACCAGCATCATGAAGGACCTCTTGGTAGATCTCATTGATGCTTCCGCTTCTAAAAACCCCAAGCTTATGCTGAGAAGGACAGAATCTGTGGTTGAGAAGATGCTGACCAATTGGATGTCCATCTGCATGTACAGCTTCCTCAGAGTAAGAAACTGGGAAGTGAAAGCTTCCCTAATTGTGGCAGGCATCCTTATGGTTGTGTATAAAGAAGACTGGCAATATATAGTTTTCTATTTTATTCACTTTAATACTGGTTGTCTATTAGATTGTTATCTAATACTCAATGTTGTCAAAGCATGAAAACTGACAGACAGCAATATCACTTTTTAAAAAAAAAAAACGTAGGTCTGGAGAAATTTTAACCCTAAAGTGATTAATTTAAATTTAGGACAAGTAGCATTCAATCATCTTATTATGATACTTCAAATCACAAGAACAGATAGTGTACTAAATTAGTCTGATATGTCAACTTGTATCTACTGGCACATTTATCAATATCATTTGCAAGTTTTGCATAGCATTTTAGTTGTTTTCCATTCAGGGGCTGTTGTATTCTTGCCGTTTTCTACTACTCCCCAAGAAAAAATAAGTTAGATATGTCATTATTACTCAACCTTCCCAGCAACATCTTTGGACATGTAAGACTTAGGGGTTGTGAGCTGCCTGGACCACCCAGAAAACTGAGGAACTATTAAGTTGCTAAAAGTCCAAAGAAAAATATAAGCAGCTGTGGCAATTTAAAAATACAATGTATTTGAGCATTTGAGTAAAGATTTCAACAAGCAATAACTTTCAACACTGCGGTGGAATTCATATGTTGCAATACATGGAACATCACTTTTATCATTATAATATAGTTAAAACAGTAATTTGCATACCAAGAAAAGGCCTTTCCGTAGGGCAACTTAATATTTACTAGATCTTTAAGATGCAAATATTAGCTTTTCTACACAAAAACAAGGTTTCTAATTGGTGAAGCTATGGAATTTCCATATTCAGTTCTTTATTATTCAAATTTTGTTTCAGAATCACTCCATTTTTTGTAAAAATAATTTAATTAAGACTATTCACTACTAACTGGTGTTTCCATAGCTAGGCTAACCTAATAAATCCAAGTGTAAGATGTAGCCATTTATGCAAATCTCAGTAATGGGCTCAATTTACAAATATTGTCTATATAATCTCAGCAGATACCAGCTTTCAAGAAATTCTCAAGTTTTAGTGTTCTTTGAAGGATTAAGGTTAGAATCTTTTTCAGAGGTAACTTAAGTTTTAAACATGCTCACCCGAATTGTCCACTATTTTCATACACTGAGGATTCCGCTATTTCTCTAATTCCTATAAAATTATTTCAGGAATCCTTCATTTGGTAAATACTCTACATATGTGTTTACAAGTTTTTCCCACTAAATTATGCCAAATATATTTTGACTTCCTGGGGAAAATTCGTTAATAAGAACCAGCCTGCATTTTTTAAAAAATCAGAATAATATGTATATTTGAACAGTTATCCTTTCAGGTTTGCATTCCTCTGAATTTTATTATGCAGTAATAACCAACTCAAAAATACATAACAGTGTGAGAATATTAAGAACTATTTACACAGGTTCAAGGATGGGTGAAAATTGTTGCCAGAAATGGGAAAGCATTTTTATTTGCATAAATGTATGTACAAAGATGTACAAATTTTTCACTTGTACATTTTTTGCCTGATTTCAGCTTTTTCTATCACTTTTTATCACTTTCTGCATTATTCTTACTTCCAAAGAGAATAGTGTGTGTCTGTGCGCACAGAAACAAAATAGAACATATTGTACCTTTAAAAAACTTTTAAAAGTAAAGCATTCATCTATGCCAGTGCTTAATTCCCTCAAATAAGTGTTTCTGGGACTGTAATTTTAATGTACACAATGTTGACTCATTCCTTTCTTTTGTTTAAACATTTAATTTTACATTAACTTTAACACAGATTGTGGCATAAATGCTCTAATTACAAAACACCAACACTATAAAATACATTTATCTAGAATTCCCTCATTAAAGAAAACATGTATAGTATTTAATTATAGACATGGAGGGCCTAAACTTAAATTTTAAATCAAGTTATTCCTGTATTAATTTATTTAATTATTTATTATTAAATAAATTATTATTATTTACCCCCATCTTAATATATATGACTCACAATGAAAACAACAAAAAACAAAAGCAACCAGAGTAAAAATAAATAAAAATAATACAAAGTAGCAGCCAGAGAGGACTTACAATCACTAAAAGAAGTCCTGACATGGGCTTCCCATGTTATCAGGGACTCAATGTTTTAGTGCAAAAGGCCATTGTATGCTTGATATTAGCCGTTAAATAAACTGGGAATGGGGAAAAGTAAGAAACAAGATGGGTTTAAAAAAAAACTGGTGCTAAAATCTACTGATCTTGCATAAAGTCATTGTAAGAAAGCAGAAACCTCTCTTGAGAGAAAAGAACTCAGTTGGAATCTGATACCACCAAAGCTGACTGCCTAATATCTCCTGAAGGGGGATATAAAGCAACAGTATATAATTTTCTGGAAGGAAATCAAGTTTTATCCTTTGGGATTTGAGTAGGATATCTTATAAAAGAAATTAATATCTGTAGCTTTCAAGCCTCTTTTTCTTTCAATTCCTTAATTCCAGTACAAGTGAAGAAAGAATTGTGCATTGACTAGCATTTTTAATACCATAGATCTTATTTTATGATCATATGAGGGCAGGAGACTTGTTTGAAGGAAGTATTTGAAGCACATAGAAATGATAGAAGATAAAAAAGGTTGTTGTAGGAAACTGAAATACAATTTAAAATCCTAACCATTAATCTAAATCATGGACTATTTTTGTGCATCCTGCCCCCTCCCCTTCTTTTAAATCTGAGATTATCCTAGCTATAAGAAAGAAAGAAAAAGATAGATGTTATACACAAATATTGATTCTTTATGTAAGGTGTGATAATAGAGTAATTTTTTGGTATTTTGCACAGCAGTATGATTGGCTCTATATGAAATAGCCTGCTAGTAAACTAGACAGTTTGAAAGAACATTGATTTTGATAAGGATGAGACAGTGCTATCTTTCTGTCTGATGTTCTTGTTGTGCTAAAACTCAGTGTACATACCGTATCTACCTCAACTAGCAATCATTTGCAGTTACAACAGTGGTGAAAAAAGTAATTTTACAGCATACTTCCCACCCCTTTTAGCATATAGGTTGAATAATTGAGGAGAGAGTATTATCCATGACCAGAATGCTGATCTAACTTCATCTTGTAATATTAGAGGTTTTTGTAAGTATGGAATATTTCCTAAAATATCTTGGATGTTGACATCTGTACTGTATTGAATTTCATATACTCTTCCATCTTTTTTAAATCAGATACTATCTGTCCACTAACATCACGTAGCACACTAAATTGAGATTGGAAACTCCATCTGAGTTCAGAAATCTTTTGGAAGACTTTCTTGATAGTTCTGTATCTGTTTTCATTCTCACCATCTTTATAGATGTCATAATGCTGATTCTTGTTTCTTCTAACAGCCTCTGGAATTCTTTATTACGTTCCTTCATGAGATTGTTGTCTTTCTTGGCTTTGGCTTATCTTCTTGGCAATTTCCACCATGCTTTCAGTCATCCAGTTATTTTATTCTGTTTTTATTTTTAATCTTTGACAGTGTCTTTTCACATTTATCCTTAACAACTGATTTGTTTTCATTCCACAATTCCTTTGGTTCCCTATCAGTGAAACACCAAACTGATTACTGATGTTTTCCTTGAAAATGGTGGGTATATGTTCAAAATCATATCATGGAAACATGGCTGGCTTTGTTCTTCCACTTTTGTTAAACTTGGAAACTATACATGAGCAATTTGTGCTCTGTTTGACAGTAAGACGCAGGCTACATCTTTGCTATTATCACTGAACTCTGTCTCTGCATTAATAGTATACTTTATTTGATTTCTCTGTTCTCTGTATCTGATGTTGTTAAAGTATATAAACATTGTTTTAGTTGTTTAATTTTGGGTTAGCAATGAAGAAATCACTGGATTGGCAGAAATTATTGCCCTACTTCATTTTGGTTTTCTTGGCCATACAGCCCAACTATATTTTCTTCCTTAATGTTTCTAATTTTGGCATGCCAAACATGAACCTCAAGCAAGTAATCTTGCTAGCATGTTCTGTTTATTTCAAATTGAATGTGGCTATAAAACTCATCACTTCCTCTTCTTCATCAGTGGTTAAAACATAAACTTGTCATCTTAAAGAGATGTCCACGAAGAATGATTTATATTATTTGGTCGCTGACTACGTTGTGGTCAAGCACTGTTCCTGTTGTATGAAAGCATTGCCATTCCTTTTTTTTCCCCATATCCTGAGTATGATCTTCTGAACCTAATGTGTACAATTCCAGTCCACTTCAATCTGCAGTCATGTAAAATATCAGCGCATAACTAATTCATTTCTTCTTTCACTATGTTGTGTTTTTCCATGTTCTTAAATTCCATGTTTCACGGTAATCTTACAGACTTGAATTTTCTTTTCCTGCATGGCAACAACAGTTTTAATCTGGTCACGTAATAAATATTATTAGTACTCCAAAGGATCCTCAGGTCTTCTTTAAAAAGTCACTTCCTTAGTGAATGCAGTCCAACCCGAGAGGCCTATCATGCAGCACTACACTGTCAGTCACGTTATGTTGTATGCTCATGTGGCTTTCTTAGTACAATACAGGAATGGTTTACCATTGCCTTCTCCCGTGCAATATGAAATTATTGCCTTTATCAATATCATTAAAGCAACAATCCATTTCCAGTGTCTTTCTATATCCCTGCTATCAAAATATAAATGCTTGCTTGCTTTAACCAGGGCAACTGACACAACCTTCACTCCTTGGGTGACCCTGCTTTTTCTGATCTAGCAAGTAAAAGTAGGAATGCTAGTGGGAAAGGAAATTCAGCAATGAATTGCTGTCCTTCACTTGTCTCTATTAAACCTGTAGGGATGGCACTGCTAAAGAGATTTATTTCTGAGGCAGCATCGAGATTGGCTGTTTGAATAGAACAAATTATGCCACCGTATTTTGGCTACCTTACAAACTGGAGCAGAGCATAATAATGT